GGATAGAACAGGTGGAAATTTACGCAGCTCATTTACGCACGTTTCCTGAAGATAGAAGTGTTTGTTGAATCTGATGTGACATGTTCGTACGAACCCTTTGTACGAACAAAAGTAAGAGAAATTTAGGATAAAAATACGAACATGTTCTTGCATGAGGCCCATTGTTCTTAAGACCTTGCCAAGAGCAAACTCAAGCTGAAAATGTCAGATTCTGGAGAACCTGGCATTGATCAACGTACTGATCACAGGCTGAAATTGCAATTTGTTTGTCTTGTATAGAGAACTTCCAAATCAGCCCTGATCATTTAAAAAATGGCTGGCACAACTGCAACTCAACAGGAATTTAAGTGATCCTGTTAGTAAACATCATCGGTGACCAGCTGAGGGGACCAGGAGATCTCCATGGTTTCTGAATGATGCACAAGAGGAAGACCATGACTCGTTATCTTGAGAAAACCATTGGTATATGCAGAAAACATCTGCTCTCGGTTCCCTTACACAATGTTTATAACTGCATAATTTCATGAGATGATCTCATTTTGGCACAAAAGGCAGTGACTGATATGCATTCCTTCAAGAAATGCTGATTATTTTAAAGAGAAATAAGTCTTGAAGATTGTGGAAACTTTATAAATATTTATTTCTTTATTTCAGTATACAAAATAACAGTATATACATCCACACAAAAGTGGTTTGCAAATCCAAGAGCCTCAGATCATATACTCTAAAATATATCATTTGAACTGCCTGCATGTCAGACATAAAAAAGAGATAACGCACCATTTCACAAAGTTCTTACATTTATCCTCTCATTCCACAGGGATGTTGGCGCATCGTGGTCCACACCACAACAATATTCCACCACTGAAAATACTTCAGATTCCCTTTGTGTTCCTCATTCCTCTGCTGTCTGCTGCTGAAGAGGAAAAAAGCATTCTGGTAATACCTACAAAATACTGCAGGTCCATGAGAACACTTTCCAGGTTTCCAGGGATAAGTCAGCAGACTCCTCTAACATAGAATCCAATATTATTTCTTGTTATTAAAGATATGTTAAAGCAGACTTTCAGTATCCCTGTCATGGACAGGGAGTTACATTTATTAACATGAGAAAAAAAACAACAACCCAGGAGGACAGTGGTCTTCACAGACTCACCACACTCTTCACATCCAAGTTTCTGCAAAAAAAATAAAACCTACATGCTTGAGCTGAGGATTTGATACAAAACAATACAGCATGAGAAAATACTGCATGTTCTTGGGATATGCGTGGTAAAGCTTTAATGGGTAATCTGGTCATTTTTGAAGTGATATTTTGTCAAATAGTTATCAATAGTCAGTAGCTTACCAGGCTATATATATA